CTTCAGGATCATATTCTGAGTTGGTCCCTCTTCGGCCGACGAAGGTCCTTTGGCCGACGAGGGCACTGCGTAGTGGCTTGTACTTTCTGTTCTTCTGAGTATGTGGGTCCTGGGGCCTAGACCCATATACTCCATCACTAATTTTATGTTTTTTTTTCTTCCACTTTTATTTTGTTTTTAAATAATTATGTGTAATGTATATACTCTTATGTTAAATAAAATGAATAATTTGTGATCAAGTTAATGTTTATTTATATATATTGAAGATATGGACCATTCAAATGATAAAGAGCTATGTCTGATAGACAGCGCCACAACGCACACCATTTTGAGAAATAAAATATATTTTTCTCAAATGACTTTAGTTGAAGCTAAAGTCAATACAATATCAGGTGTTGCGAAGCTCATTGAAGGCTCTGGGAAAGCATATGTGATGCTCCCTAACGGGACAAAAATAATTATAAATGACGCTTTATACTCCAGCAAATCGCGGAGAAATCTATTAAGTTTTAAAGATATGCGTCAAAATGGTTATCACATAGAAACCATGAATGAAAATCAAAGGGAATATCTTTGTCTCACGACAACTAAATCTGGCACTAAATTTATTTGTGAAAAAATGCCAGCATATTCCTCAGGACTGTATTTCACATATATTAGTCCATTCGAAATAAATTTGGTTTCTAACATAAAGTTAGATGATCAGAAAATATTCATGTTGTGGCATGACCGTTTAGGTCACCCAGACCAAGTAATGATGCATAAAATCATTAAGACTTCACTTGGACACCCATTAAATAATATCAGGGTTCCATTATCAAGTGATTTTCCTTGTAAGGCCTGCTCTCTTGGCAAAATAATCATCAGGCCTTCTATAAATAAAATTGCAACTGAATCACCTGCATTTTTAGAAAGGATTCAAGGAGATATTTGTGGGCCGATAGCCCCACCATGTGGACCATTTCGATATTTTATGATGTTGATTGATGCTTCAACATGTTGGTCACATGTCAGTCTCTTATTAACTAGAAATTTAGCATTTACTAAACTCCTTGCTCAAATCATACGATTAAGAGCTCATTTTCCGGATCATTCTATAAAGAAAATCTGACTTGACAATGCAGGAGAATTTACATCCAAATTATTTAACGACTATTGTATGTCGATTGGGATTGACGTGGAGCACCATGTTGCTCATGTCCATACACAAAATGGTCTTGCTGAATCTTTGATTAAACTATTACAGTTAATCGCTAGACCATTATTAATGAAGTGTAATTTACCTTCATCAGCTTGGGGACATGCTATTTTGCATGCAGCAAATTTAATTCGGCTTAGACCGACTGCATATAATGAATATTCCCCAATGCAATTAGTTACTGGACATGAGCCAAACTTAGCACACATTAAGATATTTGGTTGTGCTGTTTATGTTCCGATTGCTCCACCTCATCGTACAAAAATGGGTCCTCAAAGAAGGTTGGGAATTTATGTTGGTTTTGAATCTCCCTCAATAATAAAATATCTCGAACCGATGACTGGTGACTTATTCACAGCACGGTTTGCAGACTGTCATTTCAATGAGACAGTGTTCCCAACCTTAGGGGGAGAAAATACTAAATTAGACCCAAGTACGAAAGAGATTACATGGAATGCAACAAGATTATCACATCTTGATTCAAGATCAAATATATGTGAACAAGAGGTGCAAAAGATAATCCATTTACAAAATGTTGCAAATCAGTTGCCTGATGCATTCACAGATACAAAGAAAGTAACAAAGTCACATATTCCTGCTATGAATGCCCCTGCCAGAATCGAAATCCCAATAGAGAATTCTGAAAAATCTCTTACAAATGATTCTTCTATACGCAAAAAGCGTGGCAGGCCACTTGGATCGAAAGATATAAAACCAAAAAAAAACTAAAAGGCAGGAATTGATCTGTGATGTCAAAGATGTTCATCCTTCTGAACAAGAAAATGAACAATTTGAAAACACTGGCATAGAAAATGATATTGACAAAACAAACATCTCAAATGATGATCCAACTTCCTTAAACGAAAAAGATATTCCAGATAACAATAGAAACATTGATAATTATGAAATTTCAATAAACTACATTTCTACTGGAATGCAATGGAATCGAAAAGATGTTGATATTAATGACATATTTGTCTATGCCGTGGCCACAAATGTTATGAATGAAAACAATGACAATGAGCCAACATCAATTGAAGAATGTCGGAAATGACATGATTGGCTAAAATGGAATGAAGCTATTCAGGCTGAATTAAAATCACTTGAAAACGTGATGTTTTTGGACCGATAGTCCCTATGCCAAAAGGCGTAAAACCATTGGGTTTTAAATGGGTATTTGTGCGTAAACGCAATGAGAAAAATGAAATTGTAAGATATAAAGCCCGACTTGTTGCCCAAAGTTTTTCTCAAATGCCGGGAATTGATTATGAAGAAACCTATTCTCCAGTAGTTGATGCAACTACATTAAGGTTTCTCATTGGCATGTCTGTTTTTGAAAGGCTGCCAATGCACCTAATGGATGTAGTGACTGCATATTTATACGGTTCACTCGATACAGACATTTATATGAAAGTCCCTGGAGGATTTAAAATGCCTGAAGCTTATAGCTCGAAACCTCGAGAAATGTTTTCCATTTAATTACAAAAGTCATTGTATGGACTAAAACAATCTGGGCGAATGTGGTATAATCGTCTCAGTGAATACCTTCTCAAAGAAGGATACAAAAATGATCCAATTAGTCCATGTGTTTTCATTCGGCGATCAGATTCGGGATTCGCCATAATTGCAGTATATGTTGATGACTGAAATATTATTGGAACTCCCGATGAATTTGAAAATACTGCAAAATATCTTATGAAAGAATTTGAAATGAAAGATCTCGGGAGAACCAAATTTTGTCTCGGACTTCAAATTGAGCATTTGAAGAATGGAATTTTCATCCACCAATCCAACTACACCGAGAAAGTGTTGAAGAGATTCTATATGGACAAAGCTCATCCTTTGACTTCACCAATGGTTATTCGATCTCTCAACATACACGATGATCCATTCCGTCCCCGAGAAGATGACGAAGAAATACTCGGTCCCGAAGTACCATATCTGAATGCTATTGGAGCTTTAATGTATTTAGCTAATAATATTAGACCAGATATTGCATTTTCTGTAAATTTATTAGCTAGGTACAGCTCATGCCCAATAAGGCGTCATTGGAACGGGATCAAGCACATATTCCGTTATCTTCGCGGTACAGCTGATCTCGGCCTATTCTACCACAAAGATGAAAAAGCCGCTTTAATCGGATATGCAGACGCTGGATACTTATTAGATCCTCAAAAGGCGAAATCACAGACCGGGTACGTATTTACTTATGGTAACACTGCAATCTCATGGAGATCTATGAAGCAGACATTGACAGCTACATCATCAAATCATTCTGAGTTAATTGCACTATATGAAACCGGAAGAGAATGTGTGTGGCTACGATCTATGATTCAACACATTCAAAATGAATGCGGTATGAAGTCTATTAATCGTCACCCGACTGTGATCTACGAAGACAACACTGCGTGCATAGCTCAAATTAAACAAGGCTACATCAAAGGAGACAGAACGAAACACATATCACCAAAGTTCTTCTCTACTCATAATCTGGAGAAAGAAGGGACAATCAACATTCAACAAATCAGATCCAGTGAAAATCCGGCCGATCTCCTCACCAAATCTTTACCCCCGAAGAAGTTCATAGAACTTGTACAGAAAATCGGCATGCGCCATCTTCATAATTCATGCTAAGTTCAGGGGGAGTATTTGAATGCACTGCACTCTTTTTTCCTTCATCAGGTTTTTATCCCACTTGGTTTTTCCTGATAAGGTTTTTAACGAGACAGTATATCCAAATACAACGACATTATAAGTCGTAATATTTACCCCTTAATTTTCACGATAAAGTTTTTAAAATAATAAATACCTATTCAAGGATGAGTATTAATATGAGTATTAATAAATACCTAGTCGGGCCGGGCCGGTTAATTTTTTTTTATAATTTATATTTTATAGTTTATAGTTTTATATGAGTATTAAAAACAAACTTCAAGTGCATTTATTTGAAATGAAATAGGAACTACATTTGAAAATTAAAACAAACTTTAAGAGACAAACATTTTGAAAATTGTAATCAATCGGAACTTCCCGCACCTCCCGATCCTTTAGCTTTGTCACGTGACTTCATATGCTTGATTGCCATCCCGTATCTGCCTGAAACCCCCATGCTACATTTTTTCTCGCACCATTTGCAAATTGCGTACCACATCCCGGTCTTCGGGTCCTTCTGCTTATCAAAATTATACCGTATAATGGCATCTTGATTTTCCATCTTAACTTCTTAAGTATAAACTATAAAGTAGATATATAAATAATAAATATAATATATTGGAGAATAAGAGAATTAGAGAGTAGAGAGTTAAGAATAGGATTTAGGAAGAATTGGAGAAGAGATATGAAAAAATGTTTAAGATTAAGAGTATTTATAGGTTTTTTTACCCCCCACCCCCCACCACCACCCCCCCTAACAACCCCCCCGGACCCCCCCCCCCTTTACCCCACCCAACGGCTATATAGCCGTTTGGGTTGTCCCCAGCCCCACCCCCAACGTTTAGTAGCCCACTAGCCAAGACCCAATTTTTTTTTTTAAATTAAGACCGGACCCGGGCCCGACCCGACCCGACCGGGCCGGGTCACATTAATCCAGCACCGAGCCCGCCCCGCCCATTCCCACCGGTTCGGGTCCATACCTGGTCCCGGACCGCCCGACCGGGCCGGTCCCGAGCCCGCACAGTACCGGGCCGGGCCAGGTCACGGGCCGGGTGGCCCGAACCGAATCCAACCCTACACCATACGATAGCATTATACATAGACACTATTAGATCATTTGCACTCTTTTCACAACAAAAACCAACTAATATACGTAGTTATTAAAATGTTTATTGCCTCTATATTTGACTATGCCACCTACAAAAAACTCCACAATGTTGGTGTATATAATGGTGTACCAAGAATCTTTGCCACAAACATATTTTCAATTCTAAAAATGTAATAAAACCTATTTAAGTGCTAAGGTTCTCTTGAATACCTACATTTTTTTAATTGACACACTTACAACATGTTTGGTTGGGAGGAATTCAAACCCCCTTCCCACAAACACAAGTTATCCATGTTTGATAGATTGTACAACTTGAGACTGTCAACAGCTCCAACTGATCTTTCATTGTAATGATAAAATATTAGAGGGTTGGTTAGCTCAGTTTCAGAATCCAGCTCTAGAAGTTCACCAAAGAAGGAATGGCCCATCAGAGAGGAGATTCTTTCCACGGTAAACGGTTAAGGCCGTCCATGATTGCCCTGCGAAACTCACCATTATGGAGAAGGAAAGACGAAACATGTCCTCCAGTAACCCATCTCACTTCTGAGCCAGGCCACGCCTTTTGAAGTTCTAACACGGAGTGTTTTGGAATATATCCATCGTCCTGTACAAGTAGAAATATCAACTAAGGATTCAAATTGCTTACAACTATTTTTAGATCACAGAAACTGTTCAGGAATAAAAAAATAATAAAAGGAATATTAATTTCTTAGGTAGTTAGGTTTGGCTTTATTTCGGAAAAATACAAGGAAAATGAAAAATAACAACTTCACCGTTCCATCATTTGTTAGATGTCTTAGTCTATATGATAGAAATAGATCAATAAAAATGAGTTTGTCAAGTATCTAAAATAAACTTTCAGAGTTTGCATCTAAGCTTTATTGTTCCCCAAATTTTCTTGCGTTAGCATTTCTCTCTGTTGTCTTTTCTATATTTCTCTTTCGTTTGAAGTTATCCTTCACATTCTCCTAAATTTGTTAGACGCACGTGAATATTTTTGCACGAAGCATCTCATATATCTCTTCTTTAAGCTAATTCTTTTGATCAATCATCCCAATATTAGGTTGAAGCCCTTGGTGGCGGTTTTAGTCATTCAAAATTGGACAATGCAATCCAGTCTTTACAGTGGTTAAGAAATAAAAAAGAAGCATCTGTGTTGGGAGATGCAAAAATGCACTAACTAATGATTTTGAAATGTACGCACATATAATTTGTAATACAGATTTCCTCTTGATTTCCTAATGAATGCCTTTCAAATCTTAGCATGAATATCCTATAACATTTTACTAGTAAATGAAAAATTTAGCAGACAGGCACTCGCCAAAATCAAGGAAAATGTTGAGGACAAAAAAATCAGTGGAGATGAGGGGAAAAGGTGGTGTTCTCCTTGCATATACATATTGCTTACTCCACACCATAAACGTCTAAGCCAGACAAGAAAATTAATATTGAAGCTAGATCAGACTATAAAGATTCATGCCAGAGCGGACCAGCAAGGCAGGAACATTCAGACCAAACCAGATCTTAAAAAATCCAGATCAGATCACATCTTTCTGGCAGAGTGAACAGGTCATACAAGTAATACAACAGCCATCATGGGGCACTATGTGTGATGATTTTGCTAATGTAACGATGGACTAGACATGACAGATTTGTAAATGAGGGAGTAAAATGACAACTTTGTTCTCAGTATAACTGAGGGACTAAAAATTAGAAATGAGGTTTGAGGACTCACCGTAGCTGCAACAAAAATTACAGAGTTTGGATTCTTGGGGATGGGGAAGCGGGTGACATCTGTGAGAGACAACACATTACGCATCCGTTCTCTAACGTCCTCAAGTGACATGACATTGTCCTCCTGCATAGCAACATCGTTTCTCAGTGCTTCCCAAGCAGTCCCATGCTTTAAAATCCCTTCACAAAATGCCACTACAGCTGAATGTGGAGACAGAAAGGGGAGTACAGCAATTGGTGTAGGGTGCAATGATCCAACCATAGCCGCATGTACTCCACCTAGATTGCAATAGAACATAAGAAAACTTTGAAATAAAAAAGCATTCGGGTAAAGGGTCTTGTAAAGATGCTCCCTTCCCACTCCGACTTAATAAAGAAGGAATTATGAGATGAAGTTTCAGAATCAGAACTGCCATTTACCAAAAGTGTAAATTGAAAGTGCAAGAGAAAGGGGCAATGCTTAGCAAAGTTATTTGCTTATGTTTGGTTTTATCTTGGAATTGCAAAGGAAAACAAAATATCATAAGCTTTTAATGAAAAAAATGACAAATTTATCAAAATATAAAAGAGAAGGACAAAATCGATCTGCAATATGTATGAATCAGCCACTACCGTGTTATTTTATGAAGGGACCTCATTACTGATGTACAGTTTTACACGTCAGTGAACATGATTGTATTTTCGCAGTTTGTCCCTGAGTTCTGTTTTAGAAAAATCATTTTCTTTTTTCTTTATGAATGATGCTCTTCTTTTTTCTTTTATTACATATATGTAAGTTTCTTAGTATTTTATTAAAACAGATAAAAACAAATAATCATTGAGTTTAGTATATCTTTTAATCACCCGCACATTTTATTTACTTCTAATCTTCATCTTTTATCTTCCTTTTTTCTCTAATATTTCCTTGTATCCAAACAGACCCTCTAGGTATTGCCACTTTCAGGAAATATGTTTTTTGAGAGTTGAGACAACAGTGGGCAATGCCTCGCAAATTTTTATATTGTTAAACAAAAAATTGTATGGAACGTGACAGAAGCTCATATCTTTGCATGCATATAAAATTCAGCTTCATAAGTAATACAATCACTCAAAAACATGGGAATATGCCAATGTCAATCCATTCGCTTCTCCCCAAGGTCCAAATTGGCAAAGCACTTGCTTACCCATACTCAGTCCACAAACACCCAGTTTTCCAAAACCAGCCTCACAGTCTAGCCAATACAACAGACTTCTTGCCTCTTCGATAGTGACTCTTCCCAGCAAAAGCAAATCACTAACGCATAGAAGTTTTGCACCACGTTGTAGCATTGGTCGTCTTTCCCCATAGAAAGGGCTACACAAACACCAAATTTTTAAGTAGGTTAGGGCCTGTTTACTAACAGAGATATTTTCAAGTTTTCCAGAAAACTGGAAAACTAGAAAACAGAAAACAGGAAACGTGTTTACCAAAGAAAATTGCTGGAAAACTGGAGAAAGGAAAACAGAAAAACGCGTTTACCAAACCGTTTTCTAAAACGAAAAAAATGAGACATGTCTCTCTTTTCCTTAATGATTTGAAGAAGTGACTTTTACTAGTTTTCCAAATTTGGAAAACGCAGATGCTACAGGCCGCTGCAATGAATTTGCATACTTACACCTAGACACCTAGTGGTGGGTTCGGTCTCGCTTTGATGTCGATTCCATTCTAGTACCTCCATCCTCGTACCCTACTCACCCAACCCCCAGCATACCCCCCTTTCCCTACAATGACCCTACCCCCACCCCTACCACATGCCCCTACCTCGGTCCCACCCCGATCCACCCTACCACCTCAACCCCACCCTACCCTAACCCCACCTCGTATATTACCCCTTACCCCTACCTTACCCCTTCCCACATGCCCCCAACCCACCCACTACCCCACCCAACCCCGTACCCCTAGACCTTACCACCCCACCCCACCCATATCTTCCTTCCCTACCTCGACCCCTACGAGTAGGTTATGGGTGGGTATGAAGGGTTTTAGGGGAGTATGGGTAGAGTGTAAGATCATGGTAAGGGTGGGGGTAGGGATCAAGGGTGGGAAATTGGGTGTAGGGTGTAGGGTGTAGGGTGGGGGTACGAGATACAGGGGCAGGGTAGGGGTTAGGAGTATGGGTACACGTACGAGATGATCAACCCCACATATTATATTATATATTTGTGTTCATGAATGTTTGTGTGTCTATATATGTATAGGGTTATTTTGGACATTTTAATGTTAAACAGTGTTTTAAACCTTCTGAAGTAAACATGATCTTATAACATTGCTTATTTAATGCGTCACTTATTAACGCGAGTCTTAATAAGCACCATTTAGTAATCTGTGAAGTAAAAAATTGATGAACATGTTTTCAGATTTGAAAATCGAAAATTAGAAAATAAAAACAGAAAACTGAAGATAGAAAAACTAAAAAATAAAAACAGAAAATTGGAGAACGAAAAACAGAAGTAGAAAACAAGAAAATATCTCTGTTAGTAAACATGTCCTTAAGTTTTCTAATCTGCCTAGCTTTCTGAAAGAAAAAAGTGTTCGCTAAAATCACAGTTGCTGAATTTGACTAAAATTGCTGAAATTAGGTGTGACATTGATGAAACTGCTGAATTTCAGGGGAGGAATCAAAATGTATTTTACAGAGAAAAAAGGAAAAAATAAACAAGTAACAAAATCAATTTTAACCTTGCATTGTTCATTTTAACCAACTCAATATGCAATCAAATTAATTAAAGCTTCATTCAAGCTCCAAAGTCTAAATCACTAGCCAAAATAAGGCTACCAAATGGCCACTTAGTTAAAGGCTACTTATTATGCTGAATATGCTTGTTCTTTTGACAAGCAGAATACACAAAGTAAGCCCATAATGCTATAAAATATGTTATTCCCAAAATCAATCAACAATCATACAATATGATAGAAGGAGAGAATCACAGAATGATAGAAAAATATTTGAACGGTGAACTCCCTCTTCCTTATACCGTATAAGCTCTCAGAAAGATATGAGCGTTAATGTGTGTGAGGCTTGTAATAGTTAGGGTTTGCTTAAGTTAGCATCCTTTTATACATAAGGATGTCTAACTTAAGGCTTACAAGTGGGCTAATGGGCTGAAATACATTTGTGGCCCATATTACACATTTAACTAATAACTACACAAATACAAGGATATTTAATTATATTGGACACCATAAAATATTCCCAACAAAATAGAGCCTCTGTCTGTGTCCCTTTCTTGTGGTAAAAAAATAGATTGCATTTGATCAAGAATCCTCTAAAATCTAAACTCATGGAATTAAGATACTACACATTTGAGTAGTTGGTCAATTACCTCTCAAGGACCATAGTTGCAATGTTTTCTTTCAGTAATGGTCCACCTAGGCGTAATCTTCGTTCAAAACTATGATCACCCGTACCTGTTTGGAGGAAATCCAACAATTCAACAATTTTGGTTGTAAGCCTTAACGAGGTCATGCTAAAGTCAGTGCCCATGATGAAGATTGCATTTCCATCACTAGCCGAAGTGAAGAACTTATTAGGTTTTTATTATTATTACTACTTCCATAGTACCGTCCTGTAAAATAAAATTAAGCTTTGCTTGTCATACTCAAACCAGCAGAATAACAAGCATGAAATTACGGGCACTGCAATATTTCATTTTTATGAGTAAACAATAAACTATAGACCACCATTGAAGAATCGAAACTTCTTTTACACACAAAAATTACTGCAGTACAAAATGGAATTATCTTTTAGCATCTTTCCTAAATACTGAATCAACTGCCAAGACACTATGTTACTAACTATAAAATTTACAGCTTAAGGAATGCTTTCAAAAGCTAACTGCTAACAAACTCAAACCATTTTGACACACCAATTTTCATGTGTCACAGTGAGTAATGGTTTTCTTAGTTAGAGATATTTTACAATGACATCGAAACAGAAAAGTCGTAACATGTCAACTCAAGTTACTCCTTTCATTCTCAAAAAAATGTTCTCAACTGGTAGAGTATATTTTGTTCATAAATAAGTGGTCATTTAGCAACCTAAAATATCAAACACAGAAAAGAACCAAAGTACCCTCTTATGCATCGAAAGTAATAGACTAATAGTAGTTTGTTCAACACTGAAAAAGTTATCCCTTTGTCTCTAAAGTACTTATATACTTTCTCTTTCTGTCTCCCAAAATTATTGTCCATATCCTTTAAAGGAAATCAATATGCGGTTCACAATATTCCAATTTGTTCTATGTAAATTAAACCAAACATTTTTCACTTTCTTAACTTCGAGACGGGTCAAATTGGGCAATAATATAGGGATGAAGGGTATAATTGTTAACTTAAAACAAGCTACTTTTTCCTAAAAGGACACTTGCATAGTTAATTATAAACTTATAACTGACACTTTATCCTCAGTGGACACTATTTGAGAATGGATGGAGTATTCATTAACAGCTGCAACTTAGACAACAGGAAAATCTACTAATTTCTTAATTTATAAGAAAAATGAGAATGAAACATAAATCACTATCAAATGTAGAAACAATAAGAATAATTTAATCATGCCACCTGCAAGATGTACCACACAGGCCGTTCTATTAGAGGGGACATATTTGGGTGAAAGAAAGGCAACCCTGGCTGTGTGACTCTCCTGAGGCAATGCACTAAGAAGCTGTTCATCAATAGGAGTCTGAAAGACCCCTTCCCTCAAACAAGCAGTCTTTGACTCCCAAACCGTTTTCCAACTAGGTTGTACGGATGTAGGAGGCCATTCCAGCCAATCATGCCCTTCCACGCCTGGGCAAAGCTGCTTTATCATTCTTTCAAGAAGGTCAAGCTTTGAGCCGCCCCATCCTCTTGAGAAGAAAGGTGGGCTTATCTTTGTTCTGTGCACAAATGCTCCATACACATGGTCCAACACATAATGGAGTATCCCAACATTCACACTTACCGGCTTCATACCAACAATTTGATCCAACCACCCAAAGAATCTTGCAGACATCCAGTCTTTCTGTCAATTTAAACCAATTCCGACAAAACTCGTATTGAGAAAACTTGTAATAAAGCTCAAAGTTTCGAACTTAGATTAAAAGTTAGTATAAATTAGATCTGCGTTGACAGCAATTCCGCTGTAACAAAGTGGACGATTTACATAACATGAATGTTTACAGAAGGTGAGGGTTGAAGAAACTGCGTTGAAATTATGAAGACGAATATAAGATCAAGGGAACTTTTGCGGAAGAGGATAAGGGGAAAAGCAGAGGAGATGGCATTCTGTTTGCTTAGAAAAACAATGGCGGAGAGGATATCAATGTGATCTACTCCGTATGATTCTGGCAATTTTATTTCTATTTTATTTTTAAGAATAGAAATTGAAGTCGTTAAGACAATGAATGAAGAGCATAGTTAGGGCTGTTTACTTTTTTTCCGGTTAAATCCTCGATGAATTAAATGTCTATCTAAATTAAAACATCTGTCTGGATTAAGTGACACTGAGATAACAAGTTATTTACTATGTATGCTGAAAACAGAAGTCTGAATTATGTTAAATGACCAAATAACCCTTCTGTCTAAAACAAGTGTCGAATGTATATTATCTATTTATATTACTTGTTCTGAAATATAATTTCATATGCCTAATAAAAGAGGCACATTACTTGATATGAAAAAGTGCTCTTTCCGGAGAATTTCCGTGCTACATAGCCTACAATTGATCAAATATGAAATTTTTCTCTTTTCATTGTGTATATATAGATACACTAATTACAACATATAATATATGAGTGAAAGTTCATAATAAATTTTAGAGATATTACCCAAAATAGGACTAAAACAGTTTGAAAATTTCAAAATAGGACTGTCATTTTTTTATTCCCAAAATAGGACTAATTACTGTCATATTTTGGCAGTACCAGACTTCAAACATGGCAGTATTTTCTAAACATGAGAGTAATTAATCCTATTTTGGGAATAAAAAATATGACAGTCCTATTTTAAAATTTTGAAACTATTTTAGTCATATTTCGGAACTTTCCCTAAATTTTACTAGTGTTCAAAATATGAACACTGATGTTTCTTATAGCAAGAATTTTTTCAAAATATTTTTTTAAAATAAAATTGATAGTGATTTCAAGGTCACTGGTAAATAATACTTTTACTCAAGAGACTGATGAAGAAATTTTAAAAGATAAAGTAATTACTCTAAATAGGAGTAAAACAATACAAAAGTTCCAAAATAGGAGTTCTAGTTGATTTATTCTTGAAATAGGAGCTTTAAAGTTTATTGCCCGTTTCTTTTTCCATATTTACCCTCACCACATTTAATGAATAATTCTTCTCCGTAACACAACTGTCACACGCAACAACTTAGCTGTCAGGCACAACCCACCTTTTCCCAATCAGTCACCGCATAAACCCATCCTTTCCCATCTCCCCATCCTCCCACGCACAAAAACATCCTCTCTTTCTTCCACATGGATCCAGTTTGGAGCTCCATTTTTCTCCTCAACTCCGACGGACGGCGGACAATAGATGGCGGTTGTCGTAGGTAAGACTCTTCTTCTCTTTTTCTTCTTCCCCTTTTCTTATGCCTTTTTTGCTTTGGTCGACTGTAAATCTCTTTTCTTCCTTATTTTTCTAGCATGAACTTGTTGTGTTCTTTCTTTTCTAGATCTGAATTTTGAATTGAGTTTTGATTTTCTTTCTTTCCTTTCTATATCCGCATATGTCAAGTTTTTTTTGCTTCTTCTCTCTTTTAATTCTCTTTCAAATTTTCTTTCACCTTTAGTTTGTTCTTTTAACTTTTTATTTTATTTTTTACATAAAGTTAATTTAATAATTTTGGATCTAAAAATATATAATAATGTTTATTTTTCAAAAATGGCAAAATTATTTTAAAATGTCATGTTTTTCAATGTTTGGAAAAATTATTTTAAAATGTCATGTTTTTCAATATGTTTTTGTGGTATTAAGAACATTTGTAAAATATGGCATTATTCGCCTAACATATCCATGTAATTGCCATCTTTACGAAATTAATGTCGACTTCATAAATGTAAAATGACATTATTTGCCAAACATATTGAAAAATATTCATAAATGTAAAATGGCATTATTTGTCAAACATATTTAAAAACATGGCATTTTTATAATAAATTTTCCATTTTCGAAAAATAAACATTATTATATATTTTTCAGATCCAGATTCATTAAATTTAAAATTTTAGAGTAAAAAATTAAAAAAAAAAATAAATATCATATTGTCATTCTACAATATTCTTAATTTTCAGATCTGAGGCTAGGGGGTGGAGATGGCGGCGAAGATGGTGGTGGTGGTGGCGGCGTCAAGCGACAGCGGAGACCGGCGGCGTCCGACGACGGTGAAGACTGGCGGTGTCCAGCGACGGCATAGATTGGCGGCGTCCGGCGGCGGCAACGTCCGGCATCTGGCGGCGGCGTCAAGTGGCGGCATAGGGCGGTGGTTAGGGGCGGCGGTTACTGGTGCAGGTACTGCCCCTGGATGGTGCCGACGGTAAGTTGTGGTTGGGGAAGGAAAAATACGTTGTTGACTTGTGTAATGCATTAATTAGTTTATTATTCTATTTTGTATTTTTACTAAATAAGTTTGACTATTCATTAAAGGCATTTTTGTCCCTTACTTATAATTTCCGTATGGCAAACTACACTCTTAGATAGGAGTCCTACTTTTGCATATTTAATAAGTTTTACTCCTAAATTGGGAATTTTCTCAAAGATATAAGGTTTTAGAAACCTGAAATTTGTTAAAGAAAAACAGCGATGGCTCACCGGTGGCTAAACTTAAAATCTGAAAACCAGTGCCCCAAACTATCGTTTCCTCTTCCACTCACAAGGAACACGGTATTCTTAGCATCTTCGCACAATGCACTAATCACTGATATGATTTGTTGATTAGGAATTTTATTGATGGTGGTTTGAGGCATGACCGTCCCATCATAGTCCAACAAAATAGCTCTGTTTTTTGCTCTCGAGTTAGAGGAAGCAATCGCGTTGACCGAGAGCTTCCTGAAATTTGGGTCGAGCGCCACCACCCTAAACCCAAAACGCAGACCCATCCCACAACACCGTTGCCTGAAATGGTCTTTGCAACTCCTCTCCAGATCTTGGAAGAAGGCAGGTATCGGGAAGGTATGGGAAGGACAACTACAAACGAGCTGAATGAATAAGTCCAGAAAGGTTTGAACGAATAAGTCACATTTTATATTAAGTCCTAAGTAAACATGAACATATAGCTGAGCGAATAAGTCACAGTTTCTATTAAGTCCATTAAGTCGAAAGTAAACAGGCCTTTAGTTAAATACCATAGTTAAATACCATATTGGGAACTAAATGAGATTTAATACAAGAAAATAGTTGTTAGTAAGAGTAAATCATACAAAGTTCACAAGATTAGGACTCAGTTAAGTTTTTTTCATCCGTAAGCTTTATTTAGTTCTATTTCAGGAAACTTAATTTTTAGTTTCCCTTTTTATCATGCACTTTAGGTTGCTTAAGACGAATAACTTCCGCAACGATCAATCTCTTCCGCAGCGACCGTGTCTTCTTCTTCCGTTCTCCGTGTTAATGGAATCCATCGTGCGGTGACAGCGTCTCAATGGGAAGTCGTTCGGCTTCAAAATCCCCTTCCACATTGCATCCTTTCTCGTCACCTCTTGCTATTCGGATCTGTAAGTTTTTAATCTATGTTCTTAATTCGTTGAGTCAATATATATGTTATCTCAAGCTGCACCAAATTCCGACTTATCTGATTATGTAATTGTTGCACTTACAAAAAGAATACAATTGGGAGGTCAGAAGTTGTGGAAGCTAAGGCCGGGAAGGGTTCAACCACACTCTCGATGGCATATGTTGGGGCCATATTTGCATATGCTTGCTTGAAAGAATTGAATGGAGATCCTGATGTTGTTGAATGTTCCTTTGCACATTCAACCATAACTGAACTTCCTTTCATTGCATTCAAGGTGAGACTTGGAAAAAATGGTGTGGAAGAAGTCCTAGGGTTGGGTTTGCCTGTCTGACTTCGAGAAGGAAGGACTGGAAAAACTAAAGCCTGAGATTACTCTATTGTGCAGGGAATCAAGTTTTTCGGTGAGAATTAAGAAACTTACTCCCCCCTTTGCATCGAATGTGATTTGGAATATTGAATAATTTTGGGCATTTGTTGTCAAAGTCTTATTTTTGTTTGAGTCATTTCAAATTCATGCAGACAAAGGTTAAGATGAAGTTCTGCTTCAAATAATATTGAATTAACTGATGAGAGGATATGTTAATCATTTTTCTAAAAAATTCTTTTCATGCACATACGTCATCGGTTCGCACAAAAAGCCATTAATTCATTCAAATCAGTTTCTTGAAGGATTTTAATTGGTTTGTTTCTTCCTCTGGATTTTCATTTTCGCACTCTTCATCCTTTATCTTATTAATTTTTTAATTGGTTAATTAGTTCAGCATTGATTTTATGCGCCTCTGTAAAACTTCTGAAAAAACCTACGATAAAAATGTTCGAGCTTGAAAGTATGAGTCATTTGAAAATATCAATTTCGTGTGAATTTGTGATCAGTGGTCTGGAAATGGATACTTTTGTCTATTTTTGCATGAACAATATTGTATAAAGTTCCACTTACATTACATTAGTGTGCACCATAAATGATTTGATGAACTTTGAAGACACACATTCCTCTTCCGGAAAACAACTTAATGATTCATATCAACACTTTTTAGCTTTTTCTTCAAGTCAAGCTCTCAGTTATGATTCAGACTCTCATTTCAATTCTTTGTTTGTTGTTCCTGATTTTGAAGTTCTTTCTAATTTCCATCATACTCATATAGTTGCATGTTTTGTGTGTTGATGATGAATGCATCTAGGCTGTTTGTGGAATGATGCTTTCTGGAAGTCATATGTTCCAGATTAGAAGGTACATGTTTTGATTTTACAAGTGGCGTGTTGTGTTCATTCTGAATTTTATATACTTCCTTTTATTTTATTTTAATGTCTTTTGTACTTGTTTAAGGACTATTTAAGGATTATTTAGTGACTATATTTATCTGATATTTTGTGTTCTTCTTTTCAGGTTTGATTTGTAACCATTCCTATTCCATTGATTATAGATAATGTCATCATCAACAACCCACATCTCAAATTATTGCAGAACTTATAAAATTTTGATATTATTAGAATTCTAATAATATAGTGTTGACATGAATAGAGATTATGGTGTGACGCTGAACAAGCTAAAGAAGACTCTTGCTCCTAGAGATAATTTGGTTTTTGTCTCAAATCGGCATGAGAGAATCATTCATGTAGCAAGAACAGTTTTTCCACACGCTGAACGTGGATACGGTGATCAACACATTTTAGGCAATATTAGAGCAAAATTTATAGGATCTACTACTGGTTTGGAAAGTTTGGTTAGTGACAACGTTGTTCACGGTGTAAGAATTAAGAAAGGTCAACACAATAAGAAGTCTTGCAGGAATCCTATCGCGATCCGTAGTTCTTAGTTTGATAATATTTTATGGATTTAGTTTTTTATTTTCCTAGAATAACAGTTGATTTGTTGGCATTGAAATTTATGTTAATTGTCATGATTTTTAGCGTTTCAGTTGATGTACTTTTGGTTGTCATATATACTTAAGTAGATGACATATTCAAAAATAATGTCTTCTTACTCTGTATTAAATGATTATCTCGCTCGTTTATATCCATTGTCTAAATCAAATTGCACTTAGCAACCCAATTCTTCCTACTTACTACATTAACTATGTCTCATCATGTGTCACTAAAATCTTTGACTTGATATGGATCTGTAACAATTGGTGTCCCACATGTTTTAATTGTCCACCTTTAAGAACTCCATGTTCATATTCAATGAGGTCTATCTTATAATTTTATACTAATTCTTGTACTTTACTTTAGTTATTATACTAATTTAATGTTCAAAAAAAGACATTGCACATAGTCATATTTCAAAAGGATTTTATGAATAACACTAAAATAAGACTACATTTTTTACCTTTAACAACTTTATCTTTATATATCAAGTGATGTGTATTATTCTTATGACTCATAAATATATTTAAGCATTATTCCATCAATTGAATCTATTAAATTTCATATTTGCTTTATACTTTTGTTTTAACTTTATACTTACTTTAGCTCTAAGAGTTTAATGTCTATGCATGTGTCCTTAATGACTAATTAATGTCTAATTTTGCTTTTTAATTTTCAGTTGCATTTGAATCTACAAATTCCTGCTTCCAAGTTCTGGCCTGCAATACCGCCAAGATAGAGGAGTGTTCTGTCTCAGAAACTCACGAACTTCGTTTATTGATACGATGGAATTATCATCCTCGATCCCAAATCCTAATGTCAACTCAAACCTATCACGGAAGAAGTGGAGGAACATCGGTGTTTCAAACAATGATAAGACGCAACCTACCTGTGCGGATGGGCTCGGGTGGAAGAGCCAGGCTGCCCAACATATATGCTCGTCGAAGCTTGCGGATGCTTTCCGTCAAGTCCGTCGAGGAAATGAGACTCCATACGATGTGGTCGACGTCCGTACTATTTGGAAACTTGATATGTTTAAGTCTTATTTGTATAAGACATGTGCACTTGTGTCATACACCAGCTTCTAGTCCTAATTTTGGAAACTTGATATGTTTAAGTCTTATTTGTATAATTTTCCCATTTAATACATACACGTTTTATTCAGTAACATGAATGAAAGAAACGGTCAAATATTTGTTAAAAAAACTTTGACTTTTAAAAATGTATAAATATTTATACGTGTATAAAACGATTGTTGTTACTCTGTACAAAAATTTGGACCAAAAATACGGGTAATATTTTTAACATTTAAATTGTATACTTCACAAAAAAACATATATAGTAAAGAAAAAAAGTATACACATATTCAAGGAGCCAATCTCATTATTACAACATAAAAAATATATCGTAATTGCAGTAATTGCATAAGTCAATGACAAAAATAAAAAAAATAATTAAATACAAGACATAATTTTGCAATATAATGTTAAAAAAATAAGACATAATAACAATACAATGAGACTAAGCTAAAACCATTATATTTATATGATTATCATGTAACAATCAAGTTACACTCATCATTTTCATCAAGATGACGGATGACATATGAGAAAAGTTGTGCGACTGTTACACTTATTATTGTTCATGTGAAAAATTTTATACTATGATGATCCCCTGTGAGGTAAAAGTCTAGAGGGGAGGGGGGGGGGGGGGTGAATAGACATTCAAATCATTTTCTTTTATCAACCATTTCTCCCCTAACAGAGTAAGTTCCAATATCTTTCGGAAGATATTGTAACATTCAGCGGAAGTCTTGACCTCATACGTGTGCCTAGGCATGGAAATGGGTCGGGGTGGGGCGGGTAGTGCAGGACCCGGACCCGCTCCGCGATATAACTAGGTGGACTCGACCCGACCTGTGACCCGCACGGGTCATTAGAAGTTTGCCCATGACCGTCCCCGTCCCGCAAATAACCTAATAGCTAGTACACATTTCTAGTTTTGTGTTATCATTATAGATTGAATTTTACATTAAGTTTGTCTCCAAATAATTATAAAAAGAATATACGATAGTATATAATAAATCAAAGTCACAATATAATAAAAAGTTTCAAAAATTAAGAAAAATAATATAGGCTTAAATAGTTAACTATTTATTTATGAATAAAAGAATATATAAATGCTTAAAATGAAAAACACATTGATACTTAATTAACTTTTCATCAACTTCAAAATGTAAATATTAATTAATATATCAAAAGATCAAGGAATTCATTAATTAATAGGGAGTGGTTCTAATGAGAACAACCCTTATTGTAAGAAATGAGAACAAATCTTAATCACTCATCATAATTAATCAATGGATGGAATATGTCTCGTACACCTACTTTTGCTGTGAACAATCATAGGGAATGATTTCCATACTTAAATGATTTGCTTTGCGGTGGTTTATTTAAGGGTAAATGCGTAATTGTGAAAATGAACATTTATTGTGAATAACTTCTTACGCCTCCCACTTTCTCAAACTAGGAAAGTTTAAGACACAATTAATAGTACTTACTAAAATAAGATCAACTAAAAAATAGAAGGTGCTACATGTTATACATTGCACAAACGGTTGTCTTCTAATACACAATAAATTCATACAAATTATATAGGTATGTAACGCACAAGAGCTACTATCTAATGCAGAGTATGTACATAAACATCAAAACAAGTATCTTAAGCACAAAACGCAGTATCTTGTGCACACCAATTAAGAATTACTCCGTATTAAGTATCTAACGAATAACAACTTTGTACAACATAATATTATATAACACACAAAAATCAATATCTAACGCATAATACGTATGTAGCTCCAGAAGTAGTATTAACGCACAAGATCTAATATCCAATGCACAATACCATGACTAAATGCACATGGAAAAGTGTCGTACATATAATGCTTATATAGCACAAGAATCAATATGTAATACACAAGAAACGTATCAAAATATATCATAATTTGATGCACGAGCTAATAATCATCCTTCGATACACGTCTATGTAATTTGATACACGTCTATGTAAACACACAAGAATAAAATTTTAAGTCACATGAAATGAATACGTATTATTTGAAAGAAACAACAATGTGATGTATTAATTGCTTAGCTTCCAAAAATAATTGATTCTATTGAATATAATATAACTTTAGAAAGTAAGTTGCCAACTAAAATTAAATGCGTAAGAGACTAAGAGAGCTAAACATAAATAGTGGTGGCCGGTCAAACACATACCAAATTAACCTACATATGCATGATTACTAAAATACCCAATAATAAATGATTAAACTGTTATGCGGATGTAGATAGATGAACGGTTATGATTTGTTCTCATTTCTTACAATAAGAGGTGTTCTCATTTGAGCCAATATATACATATACATACATGTGTGTGTGTGTGTGTGTGTGTGTGTTTGTAGTATAATTTAAAAAAAAAGATGTATTTGTGGTTGTTTCGGATCAGTCCAACACATACATATATATATATATATATATATATATATATATATAGACACACACACACACACACATATATGTGTTGTGGCTAAATTGAGCCAGGATATCTTGTGTTCTTGGAGGAAGGGAGAGGAGATGCCAAGGGAGCTGTGGGGTGCTATTATTTTGGAAAAGGAGTCTTTCCCATATTTAATTGTGTAGTCCTGATCGTTGTTTGCCTCTCTTTGGGGCTTTTTGGTTTGTAGATAAGGTTTATGTCCCCCTATGTGTATTTATTTTTTGTTTCTTGAATAATATCCGGTAAGTGTTCCCCGGCACTTACCCCATTGATTTTGGTGGTTTACTCACCGGGTTCAAAAAAAAAATAAACGGGTCGGAGCAGGGCGGGGTGACATGGGTCAATACTAATACCCGGACCAGCCCCATTGTATGCACGGGATGGGGCGGACTGCAGCAAGTACAACCCGGTCTGCAAACGAGCAAGGGGTCAATGTATTTTACAAGGGACTAGATCGGGGCGGGACCAATCGGCATAGCGGAAATCATATCTTGAAGCACGACTTCAAAGCGCTCTTTGTGGCATCCGGAGAAGGGCGTGGTATCAGCTCCACGCCAGAGCGGTCGATGAACTGCCTCCACGCTTCAATGGCTGGATGGCTGAGGATCGGTGGGCCTGCTCCCTGCACTTGCTCGGCAACCGTTTTGGTACGGGGCCACTTTGAGGATTTTCCCTTAGTAGGAGCTGCTTGGTGCTCGATGGCCACCTTAAAATGCGAAACCTCCAGGGCGGTGGTCTCCGAGCCGGGGGCGTCTCCTTGAGTTTCAGGGGTGGCAGAAGAGACCGGAACAATGCCGAGATCGGCTTGCCGCGCGGCATGGGAGGCTTCAGATGTGACCTCGGAGGCCTAGGCCGATTGGCCGGCCACCATCTTCTGTTTAAGAGCATGAGCCTTGGCATTCTTCGCCGCTCTCGCTAGCTTTAGGGCGTCAACGTCCATTTTCTTCTAAGTAGGTTGAGGACCTGAAATAGAAAAATCAAATGTCAGAACCGGGCGGTATAGATTCAAAAGGACACCCACCTTGCAGAACAGGACCGCCTGGGATCTCGATATGACTCGGAGGGGAGGATTATCCATTCCAGAGGAAACGAGTGATACATATTCCTGCGTCGGCGATCACCTGAAAAGTAAGATAAGGCACCAGGTGCTCAGAGCCCCCCTCTTTCACTTTATTGATGGCCTCCTCCAGCTCATCAGTAAGACGAGGCGGCCCTATCTTCGGCGGATATCCATCCCACCGCTCGGGCAGTTGACCCTCGGGGAACCGGAGGAAGAAGAAGCGGTGCTTCCAGTCATGGATGGAAGAGGCCCTCCATAGAAAAGCTTCCATCCCGGTCAGACGCTGATGTAACACCCCCAAATTTCCCACCCAAAATACCTTTAAACAAAACATTATTTATTAACTTTATTTGAAAACATCAGAATTGTGCAGCGGAAAATCAAAAGGGAAATAGGGGCGTTACCATCACACTCGATTCTAACCTAACCGAGTGCACATGCTAAAACAATCTAACTCAAAATAATTAAACTTCTAAAATAAATGTTCACTAATTTAAGATGCTTAAAAGAATGTAATTACAATTATTTACTAATTTTGTGTTCTAGCGGAAGCTCTCTCGAAATCAACTTCAACGGGATCAACTCAACACCTGTACAAAATCAAGTACAGAAAAAAAATAAAAGAAACAAACATTAGCAACAATGCTAAGTAAGTTCCACCTAACCCCCCAAAAAATAAAATAAATAATATATATATATTTATATTTGTAAAACATTTCGTAAAAATATATTTTCAAAATACTTCATAAATCATAAGTAAAACAACATATATAAAATATTCTTATAACACAAATAATATGCAAAATATCAATATTTCAAATATAAGTACATATTTCAAAACCATAATAATTCCAAAATATCAATATACATAAACCACCAAATATGATCACAATTATTTCCAAACCATAAATCATACATCAAATATTCATCTCAAAATACATATAAATAATTATAAAGGATATTCAATATAATCAAACGAAATCAAATCCAAAAGTATTTATACTCTAAAAACTCACAAATAATTTAATAAATCAATCCAACTCAAATTCAATCCAAATATAGTCCAATCCAATAATCCAACAATTCCAATCAATCCAATAATTCAATTACACCTCAAATCCAATCCAATCAAATAATATTCACCTCAAGTCCAACCAAAGTCCAATCAATATCCAAACCAATCAAAGTCCAGTGGAAGCTGAACTCCTACCTTAAGTGTGCACACCCCCTAAAAGGGATTCCAAGCCCTTCGGGTAGTAAGAAGCCCGAGTAGTCGGGATTTTTCTACCAACTACAGTACAATCAAACTGAGATACTCCGCTTTTGGAAAGTACCCCTGGTGGATTTAGACTTATAGCCATTACCACTCACCAAATTCCACATTTATCCGGATGTGGCAAACCGACACCACGGATTACTCCGGGTGCTCACCAAAAATCACAATTCAATCTCAACAAAAACGGATATGAAATCCAAACTCCACAAAATCATCCAAAATGTAAAATATTAACTCCAACAAACTACAAAAGAGCCAAATACTTCATAAATATAATCCCAATAACAATTCATAAGATATCTCAAATACTCAAAAATATCATCCAATATCCAATACTCAAATCTCAAATATAATTCTCAATAACAATCCATAAGAAATTTCAAATACTCAAATATCAATGTAAATACTAGGAATCTCATAAAATACTCAAATAATTTCAAAAATGATTTACGAGGAAAAATATAATTTTGGTTGATGTGAAACTTACCTCAAGTCGCGATAATTCATAAACAAAGCTTCTATCTTGATCTTCTTCAAATTCACCTTCTAAAATATTAAAATTCCTAATATCAATAATTTACTTCTTATTAGATTAACTAATCCAATCTATTTTATCATCATACCATTATTACTCCGTATTATAGTATCATTATTATCCCAGTCCAACAAATATTATTATAACCAACTCAAGTAGATTTTAATATGCATCGGTCCAATTGTTGTTATTAAAGTAGGCAGCCCAATTTAAAGAAACATCCAAATTATAAACAATAATCCAGTGGCCCAAAATTAAACGTAATACGGAGCATAGACTACGTACATGCGCAGGAGGCTGGTCATCTTCTCCCGCAGCTTCGGCGACGCAAACGGGGACGGTTGATCACAGGCGCCCTCCTTCCACCGATGGCGGTTTGTCTAGAGACTTCTTCACTCCAGCAAGGATGTCGACATGGTCTTCCTCATTCCGGCACCTCTGCAACGTCACTCCGGCGTGGACCAGGGGACAACCTGCGGCGGAGATTCGTACATCGTACGGCGGCCTTCTTTACCCTTCAGCAGCGCGCAAACAGGCCAATGTTAAGAGACGGTGTTGTTGAACTGCCACATCTTGGTTTCCTCTCCGGGCTCCGACGGTCGTTTTTTCCTCTTCCCTTCCGGCGACTACGCAGTCCGGCAATGGCGTGGCGAAGAGGCATACAATAATTGTGTTCTTCCTCTTTTCTGGCGACGTGCTGAACGAATGTATATACAGGCTAACGACCGAACTATCTTGGTCGTGGTTTTAGATGGTATATGTATATCCTTTGATCGCATGCAGTTTGTGTATTTGCTTTGATCGCATGCATGCCGGGTATTTATACTCACGCCCGAAAGTTCTAGGCCATACATTAAATCTCTGCCATTTAATCAGCCGTTACGCATGTGTCTTCGGTTGCTTAGCCTGCTGCGGCTCATTAGTACTGTAATTAGTACGCGGGTATGCACGCATATGTATGTATGATTGTACAGAGTATATTTACCATATGTATGTATTACATACCATATATGTAATATACGAATATGCGCTCTTGCTATGTATGTTATGTATATGTATGTCGTATATGGATAATCTATGTTTGAATAGTCAACTTAGCATATTAGTTTATCATCTTATTTCATTCTTTATTCATTTCTAACTCCGTACTATTCTCATAAAACTAATTACATCTCAATTACTTTTATTCTATATTACTAGTATTATTTATATATTTTTATTTTATTTTATTTAAATTTTCGGAGTGTCACATTCTATCCCCTTAAAATATGCTTTGTCCCTGAAGCACTAAACTTACTCAAAGAAGGTTACGTTAGAAATCATGCAATGGAAGTGTGCGTTAATGTACTCCGATCCGTATAATAAATTCACTTCTTATTACATTATTATTATTATTATTATTATATATATATATATATATATATATATATATATATATATATATTTATTTGTATTTAAATTTTTAGGGTGTCACAGCTGATACTTAGGAACCCATCAGAATTCTAAGGAGAGAGTTTGAAGAAGTGGTGGAATAGATCCAGGCCTGGCTCGGTGTCTTTATCGACGCATCGGACGATGAAAGCAGAAACAAATCGGTAGGAAGTGGGCATGAATTGAGTCGGGACGACCTGGTAGCAGCAGAATAGATCAAGATAGAAGGTGTGAAGGGGGAACCGCAACCCTGCTTTTATCGAGTCCAAGTGGACCATCAACATGCCATGATGTCTTTTCATCGTCGGGTCCGCACCACGCTAGCTGTAGACGTTCGGCGGAGGAAGGTATAAGTTGAGATCCTTCAGAGCCTGGTCCGAGAAGAATTGTTCGCAGCCGTGCGCATTCCATAACAGCACCTCGTGGCGGGTTATGTCTTTTGGGTTACCTCTATAGAAGACTGTCACACTGTCCCCCTAGTAAGCCTGGTCGCTGGAATCACCATCTTCGGATTGAGATTCGGTGGTATCTCCCTGGGCGGCATCTTCTGGGGCGACATCCTCCTTGGCATCATCATGTTGGGCGGCGTTCCCTCCGGCGGCATCGACCGCGGTGGCTCCGGAGGAAGAAGATGGATGACCCAGTGCTACCAGATGTACTTGTCTCACCCGAAGAGCGGGAATCTGAGGCCGAAATGGAGGATGGGGGCTCTATATCCATTTCCACCAGGTTCGACATCAAAGGGCCAAAGAGTAAGAGATGAGGAGTTAGAGAGAAGGTTACCTTGGAATTCGAGATGGGAGGTAGCCGATGGCCGTAAAATCTGAGCTGAAGATCTGCAACTGTGGTAACGCGAAGCAGTGAAAATGCGACACGTGGTAAGGAGCGTACCCCAGAACACGTGTCACGCGGAGCTCAACAAACGTGATGATTACGCTCACCTTGGAAGTTGAACCGGCCACCGTAACCGTCATTTGGGGTTTCGAGAACCGCCTAATAAGCTTTCACATCAAATTCATCAAGGGGGCTCGGCTTGGGAAAACATGTATACTTCTTCATGTCCCGTGCACGCTCAGAACATCAGAAGTGGGGGACTTGTGTTGGGTTAACAGACCCGATAGCGGATCAGCCCATTACCCCTGAGCAAGGAAACCATCAAGGCCCCATCTGGGCACGGTTCGGCAAAAGTGCAGGTCAGACGCACGTCCGAGTCCTGAAGACGCTCGGCCTCATTGGCCTTGATCCAGTAAGGGCTAGATGATACAACATGGTCTTCAGCTAGACAATTCACATAAGCCGAACGGAGCACAACCCTTGCACTCATCTGAATCCAGCATCCAAGATTGGGGGACGCTTGTCCAGGGCCCTTGGCAGGAAACCAAGTTATTGGCGGGAAGCACATTTAATGCAGTAGATTTGGTGGTTTGGAAGCTAGCTATCCACAATCCTCCACATAATCAACATCACCTACCCTTGGTAGTATAAATAGTAACATTTATTTCATTGTAAAGGGTTGAAAACTTATCCCCTCTAGCAATGGCAATTATCTCCCCTCTTCTTAGCTGAGATAGACGATCGACCTATTGGCTTGTAGTGAAATGCGTTGTAATGGACATCTTATTATTGACTGAACAAGATGCGGCCCACTTACTACTCTTAATACTTGTTCTTCCATACTTGTTTGCATAACATATTCCACTCGAAACCCAAGGGAATGTCTTAGGCCTTTGGAGTTGAAGGAATAAACATCAACAACATGTAAACAAACATGTCATACAATGATTTTGGTGAACACCAATGGAATAGTATTATATTAGGTGATTTGAATATATACAAATATTGTACAAGAATCGCAAGTTATAACAATGATAAACACAACTAGCTTAGAGTCTAGAATAAATTAACCGACGCTATTCTCTTTTTTACCCTTTTACAAAATCATGTTCTGTTCACTAACCATAAGATTGAGTAACAACATCAATTTTCTATGATGCAAATGGAGAATATAGTATTATAGGTTAAGGGTAGTGATCAGCCACCGCAACAACCACTACCACCTGTTCTTGCAACAAAATTTGAGTCTTGATCGCTAACAATAATCCTAGTGCCCTTCATTGTCCCTTGTCTGCTATAATCCAAGCCATCTGCACTTAACGTTTTCTTACTTATGATCCTATAAATCTCCGTGAGAATGTTCATAAACGCAGTCTCCACATTAGTAGCTTCTAAAGCAGATGTTTCCATGAAAAAGAGATTCTCTCTTTCAGCGAATTCTTGAGCATCCTCAACCGGTACTGCCCGAAGGCTACCCAGGTCACACTTATTGCCTATCAACATTATCACTATGTTCTTGTCTGCGTGCCCCCTAAGCTCCTCTAGCCACCTAGCCATGTGGTCGAACGACTGTCGCTTTGTCATGTCATACACAAGCATTGCACCCACTGCTCCTCTGTAGTATGCACTTGTTACTGCTCTATACCTGATAAACACAAAAGACCTATTTAAAAGATTGTATAAAATCAAAATATTATTGCTTGAAGAAATGTTATGGGTGATGAAATAGTGATAAGCGTACACACTTTGATGTACACAATTTGTACCCGCTAGATCAAACAAGTCACAAATAGTCATTGTCGGTCAAGTTAGGTGAAAGACAAATCATACATGAATAGAAAATCTATGTGGAAACTTGTAAAATATTTACACATACATTGGTTTATGCACCCACAAACATTCGTGTGTGTGCGCATATGTATGCACTTTTGGTCCGATACTCAACTTTGGTAGATAATAATTGTGTGTGATGGATTATGGAATACGTCGTCTTTACAAAAAAATGTATGTACTAATTATTGAACAATGTTGATGGGTGATAATAAGAAATATAGTGCTATAATAAATCTAAAACTCATTTGGTAACATTAGAATTGGTTGAGATTTTCTGAATTCCTTGAAATTTCTGAAGTTTGTGATTGAAATTTCTGTATTATATTTAATAATGTATTTACTAAAAAATGCTATATGTACAACAAAACTAATATTGCCTTTTTTAACAAATTGAGTCACAAAAATCATCTCCAATTATACTTATTTTATGTTTTAAAAAGCTGATGCAGCATGCTGAAACTATTCTATGGAGCCAAACATAATCTAATATTTATAGATAACAAAAATAAATAATGTGTACAAGTAGTTACTATTTCCTCATCAACGTGAGGGCCTCTTCTAAAACCTGCCGAAGGAACAAAATGCCTATTGAGGTAGGGGTAATATTCGTTCATATGGCTTTTGTCAAAATGAAGCAAAACATAAAAATATGTGAAGTTGTGAATAAAAAAGACGAGATGTAGTAAAGGAGGCACCTTTCCTGTCCAGCAGTATCCCAAATTTGAGCCTTAACTGTCTTTTGATCAATAATGAGAGTTTTGGTTTGGAATTCAACGCCAATTGTAGCTTTAGAATCCAAACTGAACTCATTTCTGGCAAACCTAGCCAGCAGCTGAGATTTCCCGACCGCAGAATCCCCAATCAACACAACCTTGAACACATAATCTATCTTTTGATTAAATTCCCCATATAAATTCGTCATTATCCCCAAGATCCACAATTAAAATTTAAATCTTTTCCCTCAACCCACACCTTTCCAACATTTGGATTTCAACATAAGATTGAGGAAAACCACGAAAATGGGAACCAAGATAGGTGACAATGGGCAATGAACCAAATCTCGATTTCCCGGGAAACTAATAGAAGGAATCAATTTGAATGATTTTCAGGATAGATTTGGAGCAGGGGTTTGTGAAGAAGGAGAGTAGAAGCATTTGGGCATTGTTTGATTTTGCTCTTTTGGTCAAGGAGAAAGGTTTGAGGAAAGAGAGGGAGAGAATTTAGAGAGGACCAACGATCAGTGCGGCACAGATTAACCGTTTTTTGGTGAGTTAAATCTTCAACATAAAAGGATGCAAGAAATTGATGGAAGAGTAAAAGGCACGTTGTAATCCCTACGTATGTTAGGCTCTCAATAATTTGGCATAAATATATTAATAAAATAATGATTTGAAACAAATGTGGCTCCTTTTTTCTTGCTTTCAATAGGAATTTATAATAGCGATAAAAAAAATAGGAATTTATAATAATAATACTCCCCCCGTCCCGCTAAGATTGTCCCATTTTACCTTTTCAGAAAGTCCCACTAAGATTGTCTCATACCAAATTTGGTAAAGATTGTGTGGCTCTAAACCATTCTTACTTTATTCTTACTTTATCAATTTAATATCAACCACACAAACCCACTTTTCTTAATAACCGTGTCACCTTCTCTCGTCTCAATCTTAGTGGGATGGAGGTAGTAGTTATTATTATAATTAAAATAATAATTACATTTTTATTATTATTGTTGTTATTCGTCTAAAAGTTTGTTGAATGACATGATAAAGAAGTACAGAAAACCTATTAGTCGGAGTTATTTCGTTGTCAAACTGAGATTGTTATCATTGATGATGGACTAAAAAAACTAACATAAATTTCAGGGATGAAAAACAAAACGAAAATTGCGGAAATGTAAAATAAAATGTATTATATTGGTAGGGACTAAAAACATATTTAAATCTTTATTTATTGTTCCAAACATTTGGAAGAAAAAACTGTTAATATCTTTCTACTTTATATTATATAAAGATAAAGATAAAAATAAATAAATTGATCCCACATCGGGAACTAATACTTGAGCAAAATAATATTACCACTTTATTACTTTATATGAAGTATATATCATTAATAGTGGGTTTAATGCATCAAACCCCCTTGTGATGTAGAACTTCGGCGCATCAACCCCTATGATATACAAAGTGCATCAAACTCCCATGTGTTATTATTAATCATGCGCAGAATCCCTTATGGACAAATTTAATTGTCAAATAAAAGAAAAATGGTTAGCATTTTTGTATAATTCAGAGATGTTGACAAATTTATTTGCATATTCAATCATAATATTAAGAAGTGATTTTAAAATTGTTAAATTTATTCACACAATGGGTTCAGTGCATAAATAATTATAACACATGGGGTCTGATGCATTTTGGATTTAGTGCATTAAACCCCATTAATAGCAGGGTATTATGATAGTATTATGATGATGTCTAATAAATGAAAATAGTTGGGCTATGTACATTGAGGAATAAGATTTTTGCCTATGAGAGTAAACTGAAAGCTTTGATGTGCAGAAGGAAGAAGATTCAGCAAACTAGTTATGTCGAGCTTTTTGATATGGTGAAACAGGAGTACAAATAGCAATAAATAATATATTACTAGTATGTTTAACAAACAAAAAAAAGTAACATTTCTTCCCATCACTTTCCTATTAGTAATATTAATGTCATTATTTCTGTGTTTTTTATTATTTCTTTATTCATTAACTAAAGAAATCTGATCTCTGACCAAGTGACCATATATATTTTCACAGCTTCAGATATTTATGTGAATAATATTTACGTGTTCATTTTTTATTGTATAATAGCTTTACAAAACTCCCGAGTATGAAAAAACTAAATTTATTGTTTTATATAGTAAAATTGAGTTTAAAATGAATGACGTGTCAATCTCTCATTGGTTAAAAAAATTCTATAATCATTATAACAAACACATTTAATTAATTCAAGTTTGATGACTTTGATCCATGTATAACTCCTACAATCCTATATGCTCGGCGCATTACACCCATTCAAGAAGAGGAAAGATAAAAAATCATTTTTTTTTTCAAATTTTCATAATTTTTTTATTTGTACTCCAATTTTTACAAAAATTATATCAAAATTGACGTTGTTTTATGATCTTTCATATGACACAAATTTTGCATATATAAAAACAAAAATGTATAATCTATTATGTATTGTTTTATATCGTAAAATTGGGTTAAGAATCAACGATGTGTCAGTCTCCTATTGCATAATGTAAATTCTATCATCATTCCAACTAAAACAATTAATTAACTCACTCAAATCATGTAACACGGCTGATTTGTTTTTTGAAAGATGCATCACAGCTGATTTAGAACATGTGAAAGAGAAAAAATCTCTCTTTTTAAAAGTGATATATAACTTTATACTTATAATCTACTCCGTAACTTTTATAAAAAATATATCAAAACTCATGATTTTTTATGGTCATTCATATAACACCAATGTTATATGTATATATACATATATATAGGTTTTGGTTCAAATAAGAACATGATCTTAGGAGAGAAATGAGAATAAATTTGGGTCGTTAGAATTGGTTTAAGTGAAATTCAATGTGCATTAGATGAAACTGTAATGTGCATTAGATGAAATTGAAATATGCAACACAAAGGGTATGATAAATGCAATGACATTGTGTGAAGCTGAATTATGCATTAGGTGAAATTGAAATGTGCACTAGGTCAAACTCAAATGTGCATAATAATAGGTATGGTGTGATGTTATTTTTGTACATTTTATTTCGCACATATATAGATTTAGGTTCAAGTTTGAAAATGATCTTAGGAGAGAAATGAGAATGAATCTGCACCGTTAGATTGTATTCTGTGAAATTGAATATGCATTAAGTGAAACTAAAATGTGCATTAGGTGAAATCGAAATGCATGTGCAACACAAAAGGTAAGGCACAATGATATTATATGAAGCTAAAGTGTGCATTAGGGAAAACTAAAATGTGCACTAGGTGAAACTGAAATGTGCAGAATAAAAACTATGATGCGGTGGCATTTTTTTGTCTGTTATTCTGCACATTTCAATTTCACATAATGCACATTTGAGTTTTACTTTTCATTCTGCACATTACAATTTCACCTAATGCACATTTCAGTTTTACCAAATGTACAATTTAATTTTACATAATACAATCCAACGGTCCAAATTTATTCTCATTTCTCTCTTGTGAGTCCTTTCTCACATGTCAGGTATTCCGGACCATAACCTCAGTCCGGATGGCGGCGTTTGGCCGCCTTCCCGGTGGACTTTTCTGTTGAATTTTTATGGCATGTTACTCATCAAATCTAGTTTATCCACAAAACAATTAAGCTAAAAACTCAATCGGGAAGGTTGTCAAATAATTTTTAGAAGTTAACTGCGTTTTATATGTATTTTCTGGCGCAGTTATCTTTCAAAAATCATTTGACGGCCTTCCCGATTGAGTTTTTAGCTGAATATTTTGTGTATAAACTAGACTTGATGAAGAACATGGCATAACAATTTCATCAAAAAATTTCACATGGAAGGGCGCCAAATGACGCCATCCGGACGGCGCTTCCGGTCAGGAATTCCTGACCGGAACACTACTCTATTATTTTATTGATTGTACCATGGACTCCAACCATGGCCCAATTACAGAAGTATGGACCAAGCCCGTAACGGGATCAATCCTTCAACAAGATTAGCCCATAACGGGATCAAGCCCTCAAACGGGATTAGCCCTTAAACGGTATCAGCCCATAAACGGGATTAGTATTAAATAACCGCTGGGCCAAATTAGGAATCAGAATCACGAAAGGAACCCACAACCAGGCCAGGCTGGACAGCGGACCTTGAGCCTGGGCGGGATTCTAGTGAGATCGGAATATTCCTACGGCTTACGTGGCAGGCTATCATTCGTGCATAACTATCTGGCAGCAGACAGGAATAATGGAAGAATGTGGACTTAAAGGAACAATCATTGCACAATGTCCAAGACGTTACAAGACTTCTATTCGAACTAATATGTAGTTAATAGCATTTATTGTAGCAGTTTCCTCCTAGAATACTAGTTCCTGTAATCTATAAATACTTCCTGTAATTCTCCTATCAAAGAATTGAACTCCTGATAATAGAAACACTGCCTTACGCTGCCATATTTCATCTGCTCTCATGGATATAGCTTTTGTAGTTGGATTAAACGCCATCATTTGGTGCTCTCGTCGAGAGAACGATCTGCGAAGATGACGGTTGGATCGACTAATCACAACCACATGGGTAGCAATCAATTCAAGGTGGCGATCGTTTCGATCAAGTCATGATCGAGGATGAGGGTTCTAAGTCACAATGCAGTGATTTCAGGAGGCGTAATGACAACGCAGCGGTTCGAGGCGCACGGCGGTGCAACCACCGCAGTTTCAGACGCCAGGCACCGCGAATCTCATCCCCAACGTCGATCCAGCCCAAGCTTTGGCAAGTTTGGAAACATTCGAGAGGAATGCCTCATTGCTCTAAGGTTCTCCGTCGCCCAAGGAGAAACCTTCAGGAATACCTCATCATTAACCTTAAACTCTAAGGTTCTCCGTCGCTTATCTGCATAACTCTTCTGTCTATCCTGAGCTGCTTTGAGTCTCTCTCGAATCAACTTCACCTTGGACTTGGTGATCTCAACCAACTCAGTACTCTCGAGTTTGGCCATCCCAACCTCGTCCCAACATAACGTTGTACGACACCTCCTCCCATACAATGCTTCGTATGGAGGCATGCCGATACTTGCCTGATAACTGTTGTTATAGGCAAACTCCACAAGTGCTAAGTGATTGTCCCAACTCTCTTGGAACTCCAATGCACAAGCCCTCAACATATCTTCTAAGATCTGAATAACCCTCTCAGACTGCCCATCCGTCTGTGGATGGAACGCAGTACTGGACTTCAACCTCGTTCCCATAGACTCTTGAAATTTTGGCCAAAAACGTGACGTGAATCGTGGGTCTCTATCCGATACGATGGTCACTGGAACACCATGTAACCTCACGATCTCGTCCGTATACAATTTGGCTAAACTCTCGAGTGGGTAAGTGGTGTTGATAGGTAAAAAGTGTGCACTCTTCGTGAGCCTATCAACAACAACCCAAACTGCATCATAGTTCCTGATCGTCCGTGGTAAGCCTACCACGAAATCCATAGTCACATGTTCCCACTTC